TGATTTATAATGTCACAGAAATGAGTGATTGCTCTGTTTAAATGCTTCTGAATAAGATAACTGTGACAATACTTTTAATGGGACTTAGTGTGATTCAATTACATCCATGAGGAAGCCATTGTTTGGGAAGCCTCCAGGCAAACCATGATGCCTGAGGGAGGAGATAGTCATATTGAAGCTCATGGGTATTCGCTAATCACCACTGTTTCTCTTGGGGAATCCTGCAAAATGACAACTTTTCACCAGCTCCCTGTCAGCTCTGTAATGCTGGGTGGGAAAGTAATTGCCATGATTTTATGTTACCATGAAATAATTGTTTCAGCAGGCTGGTTTCCAACATGGATTCCTCACTGAGTTTTTAGTAAAAGATTATCATCCACCCCTGTTGATCTCAGCATCTCCACAAGGAAATCAATAAACTAGTCTGGGGTAGGTGGGCATCAAAACTTCTGGCAGAATCTGTCTTGAGACTTTAATGACTTGACAGAATGGCTTTAACTCGAGGAAAAAAACAGCAGACTCACACTGATAAAATTCTTATCGTCGTGCCATTGTTGGCAGTTGTTATCTGGCACTTTCCGTGAAAGGATTTGTAGCGCTAGCTGCTGGTGATGTGGATCCCTGACAGAGTAAACAGTTTGAGATAGAGGAACATTGAATTGCTGCTTTTTCCACTGCCAGTCTCCAACACAGAGCTGAAGCACATCAGACAGCAGCGCTGCCCTTTGGCTCCACTTCACCTACCAGATGGAAAGCAAAAAGGCTTAACAAGACTGAAGAGATTTGAAATGCAGCAATGCAGCTTTTTGTTGAATAAGTCTAATTTTTAAGGGCTTTGATCATAACTTTAACTTACTGCAATCACAACTGTCAGCAATCATCAATGCAATTTTAACCAAATAAATGTAACATTGATGATTGATGAGCACAGGCATCTGCAGCTGTATCATTCTGTCATTCTGTTAAAGTGTCTATAATCAATATTTTAGAATACTAATGGATATAATAACTAGTGTAATTTGACATTGGTCAATCGTGTTCACTGAATCCCTCAGATAATCATCACTGCATCCCCCTCAGCCGTACGGAGGTTTATGAGCTCAATGTAGCAATACAATTCTATCGGGGAACGCTTTATGTATGCCATGCTTCTTGCAAATGTTAGTGTCACTCCATAATATAACATTATATCTGTGATCAGATATAATGTTATATTATGGAGTGACACTAACATTTGCAAGAAGCATGGCATACATAAAGCGTTCCCCGATAGAATTGTATTGCTACATTGAGCTCATNACTAAGGACGTCCTAAAACAAAAAGATGAAAATTTTTTTTTATTTTTATTTAATTTTTTTATTAATAATATAATATATCGTGTTAACGGTGAACTCTCAAAGTTAAGTATAGATACACGTGAAACAGTGTAACTTGTACACGAGAAAAGTAATATTGATTTGCGGATACAATAATAGTGGGGGGGGGGTGGGGTGTGTGTGTGCTTACGTGATGTGAGGTGTTAGGCTCTGTTCTCGCCTCCTTTCTCATCTTGTTGTTTCACGGATTTTTCCAGGTTTGTTTAGACGATAAAACGAGGACTCGAGACGGACAGACGGCAACGACGACAGGGGGGGGGCAAAGTTTAAACAACCAGTATTATTTACTAGTATTTTTGATGGTAGAGGTGGCTTTTACGTCTTAATGGTTAGGAATTATAAGGTTAGTAAAATTTATGATTAATAGTAAAGGTTAAAGTTAAATATTACGTAATAAATGAATTATACTACTAATAGAATTATGGGGAAAGGTGGAGGGGTACGTCACGGGGAGTTAGGAGGGTCATAGTAGAAGGCAGGTTTGAAGAGGGAAGTAAGGGGAGGGTGTATGTAACTGTTTGAGGACGATGTATCAGTTTAAACAGATGAGGGTCGGTGGAATCAAGAGTCGTAGTGTGTAAGAGGGAAGGGGGGGAACACATTCTACAGTCTTATGTGTTGTGGAAGAACTGGGAAGGATGGTGTTTGGAGTTGCGGTTTAGGAGGGAAATGTATCCTAAATAAGAGGTAAGAAATTAGGCGTTGCGGCGCAATACTGCGATAGTTACAAATACTTCACTAAGACTCTTCTTGTTGTGTGAGTGTTCGTCTATGAGCGCGCCCTTCTATATTTTATGGATTGTGTGTAGGGTCTAGACGTATTAGGCGGTCGCTAATAGCGTCGCTGGAGGGATTCTGTTTGCTGCATATACGGTCGACTAAACGGTTAAGATAATTAGATTATCGTCATTTGTGGTACTTGACTCAACTACGTTAAGGAATTTGTTTAGAACGTTTCTATCTTTCAAGACACCAACTTGATGTTCATAGTAACTTATACTTGCTTTTGTGTACGTGGCGGATCGTCTTCTCTTATCTCACCCAATAGCCAAAGGTAGGCCGCGGGGCTCCGTTGGCAGGGCGCAGCGCCCCGCCAAGACAATGGTAGGGGAAACACTGATATTGTTAGGACCGCTGTGGCACAGGAGACCAGAAGGCTTTCTAAATTGCTCAGAGCAGACTCCTAGTGAAAAATGATGGTGATGAAACACTAATATACAAATTAATGAATTGTGTCACCTGCTGACTTTTGGAGCTAGTGCTAGCATTGCTGCATTTTTTTTTACCACGGCTTTGTGCAGTAAATTGAGCCTTCACTTCCCAGGAGGTCTACATAGTGGCCAACATGGTGCAAGCAAGGTTATGGGGAACCAAACTACATGCTTTAGTGTTATTATTTTTAAGGATTACTAAGGTGAACCAGGCCATCTTCCCAAAATGGTGTTATTAGAAGACATGGAGTATGAGCACTGACCTCTGGGAGGATATCATGATCCTCTCTCATCTCCCCCTCGTGCTCTCCCAGGAAAGAGATGGTTTCATCTTGAGAGTTCTGGGATCCTGCTGCTGCCTCGCCTCCTTGGATCACATGATCCAGAGTGACTCGCAGCTCATGAGCGGTGTGCCTCATCTGCATCATGAGAGTGTTCATCTCTGCAAAAGGTGTCAGACCACTTTAGAAAAGCTGAAACAAAGTAAGTTTTTTTACGGGGTAATTAGCATTAGCTAGCAGGTTTCTTTTTATTATATTTTTGGCTCAGGATTTTAGCAGCAGTCAAAAACTTCTGACATGCAAAAAGCCAAACTTGATAAAGTATCTATAAAAACAAATGATTATTTTCGATTTAAATATCATATCTTATCTCCCTACATTGTGGTTTGAATGCCTTCTATGTTTATTAAAAAAACACATTATTTAGATTCTATTAAATAGCACTTATACAGTTCTGAATTTTTTATAATGTTTCCTAAAAAAAATTATGCAATTCAGTACCACTTGTAAAGCAAATAATAATTTCATTGGATGAAATGCTCAATTTATCCCACATAGACATTGTAATAAATGTTCATGTAATTGCTGGAAACTTAATTCTCAAAAATGTTGTGCTTGCCTGTAAAAAGATATTACATTTTTGCAGGATCTACTGTGCACGGACTAAAAGACTCTGTAGGTTACACTAGCAATTAATTGAAACTAGAAGTGTAACGATAACGTTAACAATAATTTATTTTCTTATTATTTTGTTCCAAATTAAATTGTTCTTTACTTGGGCCTTCTTTAAAATACATCAAAAATAACAAACACCAAAAACAAAGCATTATCTGTAAATTGACTAATATTTTCCCCAATTGTTTTGTTCTAAAAAATATCAAAATCAACCATAATTTATGTATTAATAGTAATACTTTTCCACCCACCTTTGAGCTCCCTCAGCTCTCTCTCGGCCAAAATTCTACATCTGCGTTCATACTTGAGTTGTGCCTGCAGTTGCTCTATTTTCATGAGGAGGCTGACGGTGTCTGTTCTGATGCCTGGGCTTGCAATATTTTCTTGCTCAAATTCAATGTTTTCATGCTGCCAAATGAGAAAGAAAAAACACATGAATAACTCAAAGTGTAGTGAGGCAAACAACAGTTGTTTCATGCACAATTTCACAACAAATAGCATCTTTCACCTCGTTGTTGGGAAAGGGGGAGTAGCTGGACTCCTCCGCCAACCTGTACTCATCCTCTACTGTTTCACAGCCAAACCCCTGAGCATCAGGGCCGATTTTTAGCATCTTTGCTGGGGGTTGTGATGGAGTCGCTCCTGCGTTTCTCTTGGGTGGCATGGGGGTGGAAATAAATATCTGGGTAGACAAAATATGTAATTATTTGACACATCAAGTATGGCACGGTATTTTTGCACACGCTGCAGCCAAACTTTCAATGAAACTTTTTCAGTCGTTGTTTATCTCTTTACAGTGAGCCAATCGAGACAGAAATGAAAAGTTAGTTCAGATCGCATCCCCCCTCCTCCTGCTTCCTCAACCCCTCCTACTAGCTTCTCCCAGATCGCCTCCAGCTGGAGCCACTGAGTGATACAACTGTCTTTCAAACATACATTCTCAAATACATGTACTATTCAATGTAACGCGGTTTAGAGAGAGGAGGCTCACCTGGCCGTTCAGCTATACTTCACGGAAAACTGAAACCACACACTCAGGAAGGATAGCAGCGAAGTATATGCAAATACTGCGTAGTAGAGGAAGTACCGGTAGTAGTACTACTGCAGTACTACTGTTATTAGATCCTGATACAAATACGACAATTTTTATTCAACAGCGGCACTAAATGTTTCCGGTTAAATATCAGTGAAATACCGCTGCTGTATTTCTATTTTACTGTGTATGGTACACGTGTGTATACGATTGCTGTCATGAGAAATATATATTTTTACAATTATGTGCGGAACTAAGATGCGTAAACTCATTCCCCGAGGGAAGTATTTTACTCCAGTACAGTTTCCTGCTCACTTTAAAATCCTATTTCACCCAATGAAAATTCAGCGTTTGAACAGAAGGCGGGACGTGTAGGAGGAACTGTGAAGACCAGCCAATCAGCAGCTGTCTTCCAACGTGACGTCAGCTTCCTGGTTTGGTTGCACTGCACTGTACCCATGTGGGTTTGGTGTTGACGTGCTGCTTTAGAAAGTTAAGGAGCTAGCTCTATCTACATTTATCAATTACTTATTCGCGTTTCACCATGTCTTCGCCTTTCTTTATAAAGGCAAAAGTAAACCCCAAATTTGCCAAAAAGGGGAAACCTGCAACAGTGCTAAAACGAAAGGTAAGCTCGCCGGACCTAGCTACTAAGCTAAATCCCAGTAACGTTAGCTAACCACTGGTTGACACATGCGTTTTCACTATAATAACCTGCTGTGTCTACCCAGTCACAAATGCAACATCATTGTATGCCATTACTAACCCTGTATTTTCTTGTTGTGCTGCAGGGTGATGGAGACCCAGGAGGAAAGGGAAAACCAAGAGCCAAGAAACTCATCTCCAAACACAACGAAGAGATTTCCAGCGACTCTGAGACAGAGAGGTAATTTTCCGATGTGTTTGTTTAGGTTATGGTATGGATATGACCAGTAGATCGTTCAACATTTGAAGCACATCACTAACCCAGGTGTTTTGCTTTTGTTTCTTGTTGCTCAGTCCTATAGTGGCCAGGAAAAGACAGACCATTGAAAGGGATGATTATGATGAAACACCACAGGAGAAGAAGCTTAGATTAGCCAAACTGTACCTAAACCAGCTAAAGGAAGAAGGTAAACTTGAATTATCTATACAGCATAACCTAGAGGTCTGACATTACTTCTATACTTGTATGTATTAATTGTGTGACTTAATTTGTCAGAGGACGATAAAGCAGAAGATGACGCCTTTGAGACTGATCTGGTTGCTGGAAGACTTCAAGAGGAAGTGGTAAGAGTGTCTTCTGTATTAAAGCATATCGTAGAAGAGCGTGTCATTTCTACTGGGGACATGGGACATGACCCTCTTATTTTCCATAATCCCGTTTCTGTCTGTTCACGAGCCCCCTTGTACTTTGTCAGTTCAGTTTATTAACATTGTAGTTTAAGTTTGATCACTTCATCTCTAGACTAATATAAAACTCTAAGCACTTTCTTTCCAACATTAAGGCATATTTAGTGATTTCCACATTGACACATGTACTACATTCAGAAGCATTTCCATGCTTGAATCTGCACATTTACGACCATAAAAGGTGACTAGGTCTTGAGAGGGGACATTCGTATTACAGATATAACTGAATATTGATTTCTGTTCCAATCCACACATGAACCCATGCAGGTTGTTGTTCCTGAACATTTAAGATATAGACTGCATGTGTGAACTAAATGGCTACCATCATTTCAGAGGAGATCTCTGAGCAGAACAAAGCGTTGATCTTGCATTTATTAATTAGCGTTTGCTGCAATAGGCTTTATATAGAATGTCCCCTTAGTTTTCACTCCTCAGACTACATGTAGTCTGATTTCTCAGTTCTGCAGACACATGTCATGGCTGATAAAACTACTGGCACTAGTGATAAGGAAAATTAAGCTTTCTGAAACACTATTTAGATAATTTTGTTGAGTGCACTCTATTGTTTAAAAGCCACAAATACCATTTAAGCTGTCAGAGTATCATGTGTTTTTGCCGTATGGTCTTTAACTTGCTGTGTATGTGATTTCCCCCCTCAGCTGGAACAGAAAGGAAAGCTTCAGAGACTTATTGCCAAAGATGTAAGTACAGCAAATGTTATCGCTTCAATATCCACACTATGTTCAATATTATAAAGGAAATCTGTTTATAAACAGAATTGCATTGATTTTCAATCTTTCTTTTAGATCATGGCACCAGATGCTTCAGAGATCAGAGTGTTGAGAGGACACAAACTTCCAATTACCTGTCTGGTCATCAGCTCGGATGACAAGTACATATTTTCTGCGGCCAAAGACTGCTCCATTATTAAATGTAAGTCAACACCCAAATTCTGAAATCCCTTCAAATAAGTATGTGTGGAAATTGGGGAAAGTAACTAAATATGGATCTGAATAAAATGTGCCTTGCTGTTGAGGCTCATGGTTTGATTTTGCAGTCTTAATTGAAGATTCTCATATTTCAGGGGATTTTGAGAGTGGAAAGAAACTGCACACGATACACGGTGGAAGGAAAGGCACAGAGGATCGGCATGTTGGACATACAGCCCATATCCTGTGTATGGCCATATCATCAGATGGGAAATACTTGGTGAGTAGTACTCTCAAACTATCCGGCCTTTTTTACCAGCAGTTTGATAAAGTGTGCCCTCATATTGTAACAGAAACCTATTTCTCCACATCTTTTAGGCCACTGGAGACGTGAACAAACTGATCATGATCTGGGAGGCAAATACATGTAAACATCTATATAAGTTCACCGGACACAAAGGCCCAGTGTCGGTATGTTCTCCCTCTTTCTCTCTCTAATACCTACTGTAGTTATATTGAGGCTCTGAGGTCCTGTCAATCATATCAAATGTGTTTTCTCTTCTCAGGGTCTTTCATTCAGAAGGGGAACTCACGATCTGTACAGCGCCTCTCACGATCGCTCAATAAAGGTGTGGAATGTGGACGAGAATGCATACGTGGAAACTCTGTGAGTAACTTCTCAGAAAAGGCTTTATTTGACTTGTATTCTGTTTTGAAAGTGTGAATGTAACTGTGATTGTGACTTTCTACAGCTTTGGGCATCAGGACGCCATCACCGGACTGGACTGCCTGAGCCGGGAGTGCTGCGTGACGTCGGGGGGGCGGGACCGCTCGGTCAGGGTGTGGAAGATACCCGAGGAATCCCAGCTGGTGTTCCACGGACACGAGTGAGTCTGCCTGTCTTCACTCTGTTCAGACTGTAGAGCGCTGTGATTGGCCAATCAAAGTCAAGATTTAAACGTGTAATGTTATTTAGTACAAAAATGGGTTTCAAGAATAGGAACATTTGAGATATGTGTTGGGATGATATATTGTGACCTCTCTTTTGCCGACAACCATTTTAATGTCCAGTAGATTTGATAAATAATCCTCCATCTTTGGGATTACAGCATAATTGTGTTTTATTTTCCTAAATTCATGGCAGAATAGATTTAGTTAGAGAACTGTACATCATATCTTTTATTTTCATCTTTGTGAAATACAGTCAATGTAAGCATAAGACTAACACCATCATCATTCTGTCCTCCCTCTGTCTTCCTACAGGGGATCCATCGACTGTATCCAGCTCATAAACGAGGAGCACATGGTTTCGGGAGCTGACGACGGGTAAGGCAGCCGCAGCTTTCACAGTCGTATCGTATACAATGCTGTTTTTGATCTGTGTCAACAGATGTATTCATGTTTCTCTTCTGTGTCCTTTCATTTCATTGTCTACACGGCCTCAGCTCTGTGGGTCTGTGGAGTGTCAACAAGAAGAGGCCTCTCAGCACAGTAAAGCAGGCTCACGGTCGCCATGGTGAAGCGGGGCTGCAGCAGGCTCATTGGGTCTCTTCGGTGGCGGCGCTTCAGAACTCGGATACCGTCGCCTCAGGTGCCTCCGGCTGTGAGAGTCCTCCTCACCAGCTTTTTATTCTCACACATATATACACCCACTCAACTGTGCTGGATGCTTTTTAATGAAACGGTTAAACCACAGTTTTTTGTTAAATGAATTCAAATAATGTATGACTAATTGTCGTACACTTTTGTCGTATTAATTATTATTATTATTATTATTATTATTATTATTATTATTATTAATAAAGTGCTATGATGATGTGCAATTACGTATCTGCCACTACGGTTTGTTTTTTGCACCACTAAATACTGGTAATATTTTACATTAATTATGTGACCGTCTATGTTTCATGTTTCCTGTAGATATTTAACTGCTCTTTTTTACTGCACTATGCTGCTGTGTTTATTGTATTTTTGTAACTCTGGCACAACATTTCCTTTGGGATAAAGTCTTATCTTATCTTACACGCATAAGTAGAACAGTTGATGCTAGTATGTGTGTCTTTAGCCGCACATTAGACGTTCTGCTGTCTGTATTAATGTAATATTCTCTGCAGGCTCTCACAACTCGGAGGTGAAGCTGTGGAAGTGTGGCCAGAATTACCGTAAACTGGAGCCTCTGTTCAGTGTACCAGTGGTGAGCTTCTTTATCTTTTTTAAAAGTGTCACATTTTCTTAAGATGTGTTTCCAGCCAATTATAAACATTATTCTCACTGCATTCCTGGTAAACATCTGTCTCAGATATCTCATCGTGTCTCTCCCTCTGCTTTCTGTCCCAGTGTGGTTTTGTCAACAGTCTGAAGTTTTCCAGCTCCGGTCAGTTCTTGGTGGCAGGAGTCGGACAGGAGCACAGGTAACTGAACTAATGATCATGTAACCATAGAAACAGTAGGTAGAGGTCCTATCAGCTTACTAAATGTCAGTGGGTTTATGTTCAGGGAAGGAAATGTCCACCAGATGACAGTGTTAATCCATCTCTCTGCGTGTCAGGGGGAAACCACACTTTACCTTTATTTTTCTTTCAATGCAGCCTCAGTTGTTTCCAATTCTCTTGAAAGATAGGACCCTAGCCTCAGATGGCATTCATGGATTGAAAGAAACTACAGAACAGTATTTTACAATGGGAAATGTAACGGTGGATTTCTAGTATTCGTGACTTCACTGTATAATTAAAACAACACACAAATACCTGGATTATAATTGAATTAGCAGAAGTTGTTGTTGCTTTGCCAGCAACTGTTAAAACTGTAATGAGAGTTTTATCTAAAGTTAATAAAGCACTCTGAATACAGTCAGTGCTTACTGTCTGAACTAACCCTGAAGGGACCCTGAATGTCTGAGTGTGATGTTGATTCACTTTTCACAAAGGTTTGAGGCACAACTGTTCTTTGTGGGTGGATCAGTGTTTCACATAATTATATTTGCATTACAATCTAAAAAACACAAAAGAAAAGTTGATTGTCTTTATCCTCTTCTGTTTCAGATTGTGTTTCTAGCTCTCTGGATAATGTGCTCTGCTGGTATCTGTCACCTGTGATTTAACTTTGTTTTTTCTGCAGGTTGGGCCGATGGTGGAGATTAAAAGAAGCCAAGAATGGGATCTATATTATTCCTCTCAAAAGGAAACCAACTCCAAGTCCAGAGGAAGTTAAGATAGCTGAATAGTGGACTGTTATTTTGTAAATCAAAGGTTAAAAAGCTGACTGTTTTGTACATCCTCCTTGAGAAAGAAAACCCAACATTTTGAAGACGACCCTGATCGTTTATACAGGTGTTTGCTGTTGGTCTTGTGATCTTAGTTTTGGGAGGAGCTTTAACAGCATTAGTGAAGCTGGACAACACCCACCGCAGCCAGCCAGTTCATCGTGCACGAGATACAGAAGACCCCCCCCCGCGTACCACCGGACTACAGAGCAGCCTCTCTCCTCCGGCTGTGACACTGACAAATGAGTTTTTTGTCTTTTTTCTTTTTTCTTAGTTAGTTACATGTAACTGCCCCTTGTGGCACAATCCTGTGTTATACATGAAAATAAATAATCACTTGTATCCTTGTAAACTATCGTTGTTTTCTTAAAGGATTCAGGCAGGGTTCGCTGAGTCACGATCGTTACCAAAGTGAGAAAAATATGTATTCTAGGCATCAGCACATCTAGCTACTAAGCATTTCATCCTCCTTGTTTTGTACTTTTCAAAATTCTACTTTAAGTTTCTCTATCCAATTGTGTGCCGGAAAATTCAACATAATTGTTCTGTATCAGTAGGGGATGGGTTAAGTGCCTACATTGTCATGGTAACTGCTTATGTGTGGGTTATTGTCAACCTGTTGAAGCAACATTAAATTACAATTAACTCTACAGGGGAAAAACTTATCTCTGTTGGTAGAAGACCTACGGAATAAATTAAATGTTGCAAAATGTCATTTATGAGGGAACATTCAAGGTAATGCAAACAAAAGGTTTTAGAATTACACCAAATAGGTGGATTGAAATATTTGAATGTAACCATCAAATAAGATTGACAGAGGCAAAAGTTTGCTGAAACCCTAATAATGGTCACATAAGTATTATATTGATAAGCTTTTGTTTAGGTTCTGCAGGTGTCCTCTCCGGTCCCTCTGTGTTTCACTTGCACAATTCTTATCAGCCTCTGGTACATATCCAAATTGAATTGTGTGTGCCTAATTGTTTTGACCATTTCTACCATGTCTCCCACTGTTGAAGTACTTTTGACCTTGAATTGTTTTTGGATCTGCTGCAGGAATGCTTAATGTTTATTTAACCTATGGAAACAGACAAGGCAGACAGTGGGCAGGTTGTTAATAGATGGTTATTACAATTTAATATCAGGAAACTCCAATATGTATAAAAGATGCAAAAGTCCAGCTTGGGTGAATACATTTTATAGGCACTGTACATGTATAATTGCACATACTTAACTAGTAGTTACACCAATAGTTATAGCTTTGACATCAGAGCACCAAATACAAGTCTTGGAAACAGCGAAATTAGAAATCATGCTGATTCTCCTATTTAGGCGGGAAAATGGTCACTTAAACTTAACATCTTCAGTTTAATTTGACTTGGGTCAAAATAAAGTAAACAATACTTTGTTGGTTCAACTAAAGATATTTTTAAAAAAAATGTGTTTTTCAAGATGAAACAATCGAACCATGTGTACTAAAGCTGTTATCGTCTCTGAATAGCTACATTTAAGTTATAATAGAATTGCAATTGTGAATTCATACAAAGCAGTATTTATTTATGTAAAAGAAAACTATTTTATTTACATAAATTACAGGAAAGCAAACACTAATCTACATCAACACACATCCTTTATGTTCTCTAGTTGCCTACTCTTTCACATTCACTAAGGTTAGTCACATATTTTGTAGAACAGAAGGGCTACATTTATTTCATAGCAATTTTTATCAATGTCTACAACACTTGGATATACTCACAGCACTGTAAGGATGAGATAAGAACAGCCTTTTGTTTGTATAACACTATTGCTTCACAAGCACCCATTTGACAACAAGACTCTTTAGGACAAGGCACGGTGCATTTCGTCTATCTGTAAAACAAGGATATCACAGCATATTAAATCTATACAAAAAGGCTTTACAAATGATACATACTGCGCGCTGTAGAAACATCACTTTCACAGTAAAGAGTTACCCTTGCCGCTGTCAGTCAGTCTACCCAGACAGAGATATCTCTCTGCAGCATGTTGGATGGCATGGGGGCTCCGTCATACACCGCCCTGTTTCATGGAGGGATGAGTGATGATGGGATGGTGTCTTGTGCTTAGAGGGAAACCTTTTTTTTTTTTTTTTTTTACAAAGAGGACGTCGTAGAATCCACAACTTCGCGGCCGTTACAGACTGCTGGCACATAGTTAGAGGCTGATCCTGGGAGAGGAAAAACAACATTAGATAGGTTAGATTAGTTTTATTTCCATTTTTACCCTAAATACTTCCTCCTCCTCTGGCTGAGTCTAAATCGTTAAATTAAACATTAATTACAGATGACTTCAATGTCACTAGTCCAGGTGAAGGAATAACAGGAAAACTAGCATCATGCCTTTACATTCACAGTTGTTTAGACTAAAAGTTTTTGAACTCTCATAGCTAAAAAAAAAAGTAAGTAATAATAAGTGGAACAATTTATATGTTTATATAGTCGTCATTAGACGTTATTTAATGAGTTTTAGATAAGAGTTTCTATTATCCAACATGAAAATAATTGTAATGACTGGATTTAATTGCTGGGCCACGCTGATGCAAAACCAAAATAATCTTTAAAAAAGTGTAATATTGTATAAATATTGTCTAAATTACGGTGGTCTATTCTGATGGTGTTATTGCAAGTGTTGCATTTAGGTCAGGTTGTCGATTTTTCCTTAATTGTATTGTTATGACTTCAAATTTGCGATGTAGATCCAGTCAGTAACCTTCATTGACACAGTTGCCTCTGCGCCGGTGTTTGCCCAATGTTTCCAATACTAGATAGAGCACTAAGTGGCAGATACTGTGGATACTTGTACCTTTAGAGTAGCTGGAGCTGGGAGCGGATGCAGTCGCTGACACTGTGGCACTGAAGCGGTTGGTTGTGACTCTCAGAGAGGTCACATTTTTCTGGGGCTGGAACAGGATGATGTGAACTTTGGGGGCGAAGAGGCAGCCGAGAACCACCGAGCCGCTCAGACTGACGGAGATGCACATGGTGGTGGTCTGCACCTGTGAGGAGAAAGAGAGTGGGTGATGGTAAATATATCAGTCGGCCCATGGAGATCCTCCTTTTGGCTTCAAAGGGACTAATGAAGTTTGTTCAAAGGCCCCTGGCACTCCTCACTTCCACCCACACACGCATATACGCACACAGTACACCACATACTTATTCCACTATCTTGTTTGATCCAATCAGTTCACACATCTTTCGGCCTTTCCTACTCCTAATCATTTAACCAAGCAGTCCCAAACCAATCAAGGCCTCCCTGTTTTAACACAATATTATCCTGTATTGCAAATTGATATTAATAATACAAATTATGTTTTTGGTTTCACATGAATAAAATATAATAGCCTATGCGTGCAACTTTGACAGGTTTCTTTTTTCATGTGAATCAAATCTGGTTAAAACATATGGCCATTAAACCAATGTTTGTTTTTGCATTATATGTCAGATCATGAGCTTTACCTTTAGCACACTTTTTTAATTAGATGTATTAAGAGGATTAATCCTAAATGTAATCTTAATTTTCTTATTATGCAGACATATCAAAAAACTTCAAAGTCTGTTTCAGGCTATTATTCAAGTGGTATTATGTGTGTGAAGTTTTCAATTATAAATGTTAGCAATTATAATAGTGTATCTGTATGTGCATGAATATGAGGGCTAGAAGAAGAATAAGCATGAATAACAGCACAGCTGGCTGTCCTGGAAAGTCAGGGCCTTGTTAGTCATATTTCAGCTGCTAATGTGAGCTGACTGCTGGGGTCATCTTCCAGAGCCGCATCTCTTCCCACCCCACTGGTTACCCCTGCAGTCCAGGAACTTCTATTTGCAGAACCACAGCATGAAGTGAAATCCCTCCTAAACATACCGTGCAACAACAACACTGCAGAAATATGCAAAGTCCTCATAAATCTAAACTCTAGACTACAAAAACAACTGGTGAAAAAACCCACCAAGGTTGCAGGCAATAATACATCACTTGTCTTTTGTCCGCAGCTCCTTATCTCTTACAGCATTGAAACTGTTTCCATTTAAAAGTTTGTTATACAAACTATTAGAAAGCACCAAAAGGACTTTGCTGTGTAAACCCTCCTGTGTTCTTACTCTAAAACTAAGGTCAAAGACAATACATAATTGAGTTAAAGCTTTGTGCCTTTTTAATTATTCCATTATGAGATTTCTTTTATGTTTTTCTTCAATAGATATCTTCAAAATTGTTCGAAATACATTTGTATCTGGATATAACTGCATATGATAAACTAATGCTGCACTTTTCTTACGTTTTATAATTCAGTATTTTAATTAACGGCAATTTCTCTTTTAAAATAGTTAACCACATATGCATTAAACAATGACTATTTTCCGTGCCGATGTTTACTTTCCATCATAAGAGGAATAAATGTAAAGGCAAGAGTATAAGTAACGGTTTCTGAAACCTTGAGTTCATCATGATTCACTGAGCAGCAAGGCTAGTCCCCCATTAGAAGATGTCTGTGCTATCCAACCCTAATTTAAAATGTAGCAACTGAACCCACAGCCATTACTATTGTTGTCACACAGCACTAAAGCACCAAGGTCGCTGCTGCAGTACTAAACATCTAATTCTTTTAGATATTCTGTGCTGCCTCTCCGGTACGAAGACGTATATCCCACAATGCTCTGCTGGTCTCATAGCTCATACTGGGGATCAGTAAAGGTTCACAGTTTGGGATGGGGAAGGCTGATCACTACAGACATGAAAAGCCTGAGGTACCGCATGATGATAAAGCGTGTGATCCAGGCCTCCCCCATCTGTTTGCACAACAAAGGCCTTGTTGCACACCCGAAAGCAAATGCTGTGGCAATGGCCTTGATTGCGCCTAAGGCAGCGGCGCTCATAACTTACAAGGTCTGTCAGCTTCATGCCCGTTGGTTCGTCTTCCTTGTCTTGCTTTACACTGCATGGATAAATACATTAATATGCCCTTGCAGCTAAACATTTTCTACTTGAGGAAAATTAAATGTAGATTCAAATGTTTGGCCTGCTGCTGTACTTCAGACAAGTCACGTAATAGTTAAGCATATTCAACCCATTTAATCAATTCCATTAATGAGATGCAGGGTAAATGTGGCCTTTAGCATTTATGTCCTATTTCCTCTGAATATCATGGAGACAGTAAACTAAATTAGCCGGTACTCCATGTCCCCGATTACAACTTTATTTTTTCTTCAGGTAATATACTACCAAGTGAGTTCACTATAAAGAGCCACTTGTGAATTCATGTTAGCATCTGCAACACAAACTGTAATAAACCTCCAGAAATCATCTTTTGCACTTGGAATGTGTCATTAATCATTTCTGATTCAATGAATCAGTTTGACTGTCATTCATTATTCCTATCTGTATATTCCAGCCTGATGTGTCTCCAGAGTCTTTGTTCTTGTCTTGAAAGATCCTTCAGCCCACTTGAAATGAAAGCTCGCTCTTTCATGAGTCTGGGTGACGATGATCAAATGGGATGTGATAGTGACATCTTCTTCTTTAGGAATGATAAACACACTAGGGGAAGTCATTTATAGACTTTGTTTACATTAAATTGATACGTTTTTAGATGTATTAATTATAAATACTCTGTTGACTTCATAGAAAAGCATTCTCATAGATAGTTACCCTGTAGTCGCTGGCAGTGACATAGAAGATGGGCTGGAAGGCGAGCCAGATGATGCAGGTGGTGTACATGGTGAACCCAATAAACTTTGCCTCGTTGAAGTTCTCAGGGCACTTCCGCGTCTTGAAGGCGTAGACGGTGCAGAGG